CCTGCCGACGACCCAATATAGACAACGAAGACAAAGGAGGGGCCGGTCGCAGCCGGCGTGGGGAAGAAGAAGAAGAGGATGGAGAAGAAGAAGAAGAAGAAGAAGAAGAAGAAGGAGGAGAAGAAGAAGAAGGAGGAGGAGGAGGAGGAGGAGGAGGAGAAGGAGGACGACGAGGAGGGGATGACAAAGAGGAGGGAGAAGGAGAGGGAGGGGAAGAAGGAGAGGAAGGCAGAGGGGAAGGGGAAGGAGAAGGAGGAGGGGGAAGCAGAGAGGAGGAAGGGGAAGAGAGAGGAGGAAGGGGAAGAGAGAGGAGGGGAGGACGGACCGAGAGGGGGAGGGGGAGGAGGATGAGAAGATGGAAGAGAGGAAGGGGAAGGAGGAGGGGGGGAGGGAGGAGGGGAAGATTGACCAAGAGGGGGAGGGGGAGGGGGAGGGGGAGGGGAAGGGGAAGGAGGGAGGGAGGGATGAGAAGAGGGAAAAGAAGAAGGGGGAAGTACATCCCCCACCCCCACCAACCAAACTCAACGCTTCACTTTCCAGGTCCCCGGGCCTCAGAAACGGGACCTGCAGTTCACCACGTAGCCTATCAAGCGACATGGGCAGCTCAGGCAGTAGCACAAGGGGGGAAAGCAGATGCGGTAATGCGAGATCCAAGGCTGGCCCTACGAACACCTATGAAGCAGAGACGCATCAACGAAGACGGGGATGGAAGAGTCACACAAGAGGAGGAGGGAGCCGAGGTGGACTTTTACTCGGTGCAGGATGTTAGAAACACAGTCCCCTCAGGGGGGATGTTCACTCTGCAGGGATCGGACCGATCTGCAGCGGGCTTGAGCGGCCAACCATCAAGCAGCAAGTCAGCAGGAAGCGCTGTGAGGCACCGGTTGGTAATACTGTGCTTCACATTAACATCATAGGGAACCAAATTCATGGCTAAAAGGATGTAGCAGGGAATGTTGGCAATCCCCACGGTGGCGGTCAGCGCTTCCCCAACATCCAAAGATGCAGTCAAATCTGCAGCGGCTGCCTTCTTTGCAGACCGCTTCCAATACAGGCTCGTTCCAGGCATACGAATTGGCAGAAAGACGACGGTTGCCGCAGCAGGCGGCAGTTGGCACTTCTCAATCGGAGTGATTGACGCCAAGATCTTGCTGGACACTGCTGCGCTCCTAGCCACATAGGGCATCGTATGGCTGCCATCTACCTGGCTCAGCACATCGGTGGAGGAACTGCAAGAAGTCTACCTAACGGAGGACGTGAACGCCAAGCTCGTAGCAGAATTCTGTGCAACCTTGGCCACGGAGAAGTAGCCACATTCAGCGGGCTTCCGAAATCTGCTCCTTGCCCCCTGGTCCAGCCCAGCCGAGCCAGAGTCGGGTAGAAGACAGCGCCAAGAAAGAGTTCAGGGCGAAGATTCACTGCGGATCCAAGCAACTGCCGCAGCCAGCGCAGCTCATGCCCAGCGTTAGACTGGCCACCTGGAACGTCCGGGGTATGGGGGATACCTCAGGCAGATTCAAGAAAGCGCAGATCAAGACGTGGGTTCACGATCAGAGAATCCAGGCAATTCTGCTGCAAGAAACTAAGCTGGACGAAACCAAGATTGCTCAGTGTAGTCACTGGTGGAAAGGCCCACAATTGTGGGCACCAGCAGACGGGACCAAGGGTGGCTGTGCCATCCTCTTCCATCGAAACTTGGAATTCGAGTCATTGGAACAGGAAGCGGATATTTGGGGACACTGGGCCTGGTGGAGAATTAAGTTTGGCAGAGAAGAGTGGGTCATTATGACAGTTTATGCTCCTGCTGAACCACGGGAGCGGCGCCTATTTTTGGAAGAACTGCCTGCCATAGTCCCACAAGGGGAGAATTTGGTCCTGGCCGGAGACTTCAACTCGTGCTCACAGCGGGCCTAGACTCGCAAGTAGTAGGACCACGGAAAGCGGATGCTATTATGCTGTCGGACTTCATGGCGGAGCGCCGGTTAGAGGACTCTTACAGGACCACCCACCCCACTGAATCTGGGTACACTTGGTTCTCCTCGCAAAGCATAGGTGCTCATCCGCCTCCTAAGCGCAGGCTGGACCTGGTGTTAACAGTCGGCGCTGCATGGGAAGCCCTCACCACAATCGAGAGCTCCATCGAGTCTATCTCAGATCACAGGCCAGTGGTAGTCAGCTTTGAGCTGCCTGACCAGCTGGTCAGGGGACCAGGCACATTCCGGCTGAATGTGGAGCTGCTCAAGTCCCCGGACATCATACAATGGGTGAAAGAGCACTGGGAGGGATGGCACCACACAAGAGCAGACTTTGGTACGGAAGAGGACTGGCTGCAGATGGGATTCAGGGTGGTGACAAGGGCGCTGGATGTTTTTTCGGGCATTCAAGCACGAGGACGAAGGCACGAGGAACATAAATGGAGGGACATTGTAGCAAATGCAGAGGCGGAGCTAGACAAGAACCCACTCACAGAATTATACTGGTAGCACCAGAGAGACAGGGTCCTGCAAGAGCTGGAGGAAATTCAGGTGAAACAGCAAGTACTCTGGGCCAGGAGAGCACAGGAAAAAGGAATGTCCACTAGCGACATAATGACTAAGGAAACATTTCAACGAGTATGCCCACCACGAGCGCACTCCCTCATGCGAGAGTTGCACCACCCTTTCTACCAAGAGGCAGCACCGACAAAGGACTCTGAAGCGATTGGTAACTACGCACTTACTTACTTCAAGGATATTCTTACTTCGAGGAGGCACCCTGATCAATCGCTGCAACAGCTAAGGGAGGAGCATGACTTGTGGCAGCATACCCAAGCGAGACTGACCCAGGAAGCCGGTCAGCAGTTGGAAGAGCCTCTAACGCTGGAAGAACTGAAGCAAGCGGTCAAAGCCATGGCCAGAGGAAAGTGTCCCGGTTCAGATGGGCTCCCGATCGAGTTCTACGAAGCTACATGGGACCAAACAGGTCCTTTACTACTCAGCAGCTACAACAGAATCCTCCAAGGTGGCTCCTTAACAGAGGACATGAAGCTGGACATTATCACGTTGATTTACAAGAAAGGTGACAAATGCAATGTACGCAATTGACGCCCCATCTTATGCCTCAATGCTTCGCACAAGATTATAGCCAAGGTTATGGTCAGAAGACTAGCACCGCATCTCCCAACCTTGGTGCACACAGATCAAGGAGCCTTCGTGCAGGGCAGGACGATAGCTGAGAATATGTTGATGGCAGCGGGCGCACTGAAGATCATACAAAAGGAGGACAGACAAATGATGGTGGCCATGCTTGACCTTGAAAAGGCCTACGACCGCGTCAACTAGTCTTTTGTTTTGGCCACATTGGAGCACATGGGATTTGGCCCGATTTACAAACACTGGGTAAAAGAACTGTACACAGGTGCGGCCGCAACAGTTAGTGTCAATGGGTTCCTATCTCAAACTTTCCCGTTGACACGCTCGCTGCGCCAAGGTTGCCCTCTCGCCTCGCTGCTGTTTACCATCCAAATGGAGGTCCTCTTGAACACCCTTCGAGCGTCTCCCTGCATCCGAGGCTTGGACCTGGGGGACGGTGATATCATGTTAACTGGTGTTATACCTGATGATCTCTTGCTTACAATGGAAGCAGAACCAGAATCTGTAAATGCAGCCAAACCCCTGCTGGACTCATATGCACAGCTGTCCGAGGCCCGGGTCAAATGGGATAAGTCAGTCTACTTCATACCAGAGAGGTATGACTTCCCAGGAACAGACTGGGGTATGAAGCGAGTCCCGCCAGAAGTGTCAGAAAGGTGCCTTGGTATGCAGGTCTCTCTCACCAACGCGCAGCCGAAGCAACAAGCTCTCCTCCGAGCCAAGACGCAGACCAGCATACAGCGATGCAGAGTAGCAGTTGGAATCTCCTTGCTCGGTCGTGCCCTGCTGCTCACGTCCGTTGTCTTCGCCCAACTTTGGCATATTGCAGCAGTATGCCTGATCTCTAAGCCGACTGTCAAGCCGATCACCGCCGACGCAGCAAGGTACCTGTGGAAACCCGCCGCACAGGAAGGCCAGAGCTTCGTCTCCAAATGTGCTTGGTCAAAGGTAATGATGGAGAAGGCTCAGGGAGGGCTAGGAGTCATTGATCCGCAGAGGCAAAATTACGCACTGCTCACCAAGTGGCTCCTTAAAGCGCTGACGCAGACAGAAAGGACATGGATCTCTATCCTGGAGTATCTCCTGCAGCAGGAGCTTTCACTGTCACACAAGCGAGACGTTTGGGCTGTAGTCTTTTTTCCTTCCTTTTTGCGCAGACAGCCACGATCACAGTTAGCAGGAGCCTGTTGGGCAGCATGGAGGATCTTGATCCCGACCTGCATACGAGAGCCGACCACGAAGGATGAGGTTCTGACGCAGCCCCTCTTCGATAACCCCCAGATCCTGAACAGCCAAGGCAACCCTTTCCCAGCGACAGCCACCCCAGGCAACTTCGGAAGGAGGTGGGCTGAGAAGGGCCTCAGTCGTATACAGGACCTGTGGGACGAAGAGAGGCAGGATTGGTGTACAGAGGAGGAGGTCAAGCGCAAGCTGGGAAGGTTCCAACTGATTGCAGAAAGAAGGCAGAGCTTGATCTCAGCAACCCCGCCTCACTGGCAGGACCTCCTGCGCTCAAATGACCCGGTACAGGGGAAGTGGTATTCCCCACCGATGGTACTGGAAGGCAAGAGGCGATCCAGGTTCTGGAGCAGCTGGACAGCGATACGTGGAGAGCTCAGACTTGGGACTTAGCAGAAAATGCAAGGCACCCAGAGCGACTCCAGCCTCAAGCGACAATAGCCTTAAGCTCTACCAGAGACCTGCAGCAGATTTGTGTCCACAAGGACATTGGGAACGGCTATCCAACCTATGACCTCATAGCTAACGGGGTGTCATTGAGGAGGCTGAGAATAGACCCGCAGAGCCGTTACTGGGACCTCGGGCAAGGGCGCAGACGATTCCTATACCAGTACACTACAAGGCTGGGGAGGCAACTGCAATTGAAGGGGGAACCACTGCCACAGATCACGACAGAACGTTTAAACAGATTGGGCACCTGGGACTACCCAAACATCACGGAAGCAGAAATGAGAATACTTTGGGCGCAGCTCCCAGCCCTACCGTCACAGAAGCTAGCAGGACTGCTATGGCTTCTGTCGCATGCTGCGATCCCCTGTTCAGTAAGGCTGTTTGAAGGAGGAATGGACATCGAAACCAAATGCCTACGCTGCGGAAGGCGGGAGGAGGAGACGCTACAACATCTGTTCTGGGACTGCCCGGCATCCAGGCGCATCTGGCGATGGTGGGAACAACACTGGCAGCGATTCATTGGTCCGCTCCTGAACTGGGACGAGACATGGGCACTACACGGCCGTATCCCAGAAACCTGGTTCAAACACACGGGAAGGGGCTACGTAGCCCAGGCTATCCGCTCCATCCTTATTTGGGTGATTTGGGAAGACCGTAACAACGTCCTATTCAAGGGGCAATGGACGGCAGACTGCACGATAACCCAGAAGATCAAACATTGGATCAGGACAATGATTCGGGTTGATTGGAACAAGAAGGCTGAGAGGGGCGATTCCCGCAGAGGCAGGCATTGGTTCCTTGTTACTTGGGCAAGAGATAATCAGCTAGCGGCAGTCACACACGAAGGCAGGATGGTGCTCTCCCCTTGGCTCACCGTGGAGAAGTCATGCCTCTCCGATTCGCAGAGCACGTTCTTATCTGTCAGGGGGTGTTTGAAAGAGGCGTTCTTTTTTTGAACCAGGGCACTCGGTTCCTGTCGGTGGTCAAGGTAGACCATAAGGGGGTGGAGAGGGCCCAGGACGGTAGCAAAGGATTCTGTTCCTCTCAGCCGATGTAGGCTGAGGTCAGGCCGAAATGCCTATAGGCCTGTGATCTAGAGATTCGGACATAGACTAGTTTAGGATTGTTTTAGGATTGTTTGGAATCCTGGTAGCTTTCTTTTCTCTTGTCCCTCACCAGGTGAGTAGTTACAGAGGAAGTCTGTAGGATGAGCCAAGTACTTTGAATTAGGATATATGTCACATAGAGCTATTCATTGTCAGCAGATTAACTTTGATCTCTTTCCGGGTCCCCTCCTGGGTCTCGTAAAAAGCTAAACCGGCTGAGGCTGCCGGGATAACTTCCGGGTGGAATTGTGAGGTCCCCGGCCTCTCATTTTGGCAAGTTAATACAACAATACGGAGTTTTCTTAAAAAAAAAAAAAAAAAAAAATCTTTTTTTTTTAAGGCTAAATCCGGGGTCAAGTCCCACCAGCAGCGTTGAGTTTCCTCAACACCTGAATCCGGACGTTTTCAGTGGAGATGTGCAGAAAGTGCGTTGTGTTTCCTCAACACCTGAATCCGGACGTTTTCAGTGGAGATGTGCAGAAAGTGCGTTGCGTTTCCTCAACAGCACATGTTCACAAACACATCCAGATTCAGGCGTTGAGCAAACTCAAGGGTGCTGGTGGGACTTGGCCCCGGTGAAGCTGATCAGCACGATGATATCTCAACGATGTCGCCCTTTTTTTTTTTTTTTTTTTTTTTTTAAACACAACATATGGTATGGACTATGGGCGTCGCTGCACTACTCTCGACATGCACAAAAGACAAAATATTGGCGGTGTATATTTCCATATTCTAGCGGAGGATTCACTTTCATTTTGCACATTTCGAGAGTAGTGCAGCGAGGCCCTATTTCTGGATTTGTTATGTGTATGGTATGGACTATGGTCTCGCTCCACTACTCACGAAATGTACAAAACGAGAGTGATCGTCTGGCTCACTCACGTGTGGAGGTGAGTTTAGAAGAAAGCAGAACGCATCGGGCCGTTTTTTTTTGGGTTTTTTTTTCCATTACAAAATTTGTGTTTTTTTTTTGGGGGGGGATTCAATCTCATTTCGTGAATCAGTAGTTCAGAGGCGAGGTCCCACTAGCAAAGAGGATTGGATGGAATGCCCGAGTCTGGACGTGTTTTGAAGCATAAAGACAGACAGGCAGTCGTTCATGCTTTTTTTTTTTTTTTTTTTTTTTGGGGGAATTACACATTGGTACTCATTGCTCAAATGAAATTGGGGTGGGCCACCCCACATAAAGGCCGGACAGGGAGCATTACCCCAGTTCGCTTTAGAACACAGCTCGTTGTCTTCCTCAACTTAGAGAGATGAAGAGATTAAGGTTGAGGGGGGAGAGATGATAACCTAAAAGGTACTTACAGAAAGGGAATGAAGCCAGAAGAGAGAGATAAGAAGAGGAAAGAGAGAAGTAAAAAGGGAGAAGAGGAAGAGGTACTGGATACTGTATTCTCAATCTACGATCTACTCCTAAACTTAAACTCTTCATCTACTCATTACTATACACAGGTCGTTCAATGACATGCTTTTTCGTTGTTGCGGCCCTCGCAGTCCAGCCTCTCCACCGCTTACGGGCTGCGGGCCCGCGTCTGCGCGGTATGCCAGTCATGAACCTCAGGTTGATAATTTTTCCCCTTCGGGAAGTCGATCCGAGCAGCCACCGTTGAACTACCTACCTCGTTTTCGAAAAGGTAGCTACAGTCTTCCTCTGAATACAACGTACGGTCATTATAGCTGTATCTAGACTGAAAGATGCCTCAAATACAGCTATAATGACCATACAGCTATAATGACCATACAGCTATAATGACCGTGCGTTGTATTCGGGGGAAGACTGTAGCTCAACGGAAGTGGGCCAGGGTAGGGGGCGTTCTAATTGGGGGTGGCCGCATTTTCCCCTTCTTTTAGACCAAAAAAAAAAAAACAAAAGTCGTTTATCATTTCACACATAAATTGAACCGCCCGATGCCCCGCTCCTCGTGTGATCGCGTGAGTCGCCCCAGGTCACACGTAATAGTCAACGTTGAGCTACCTGGGACATGGCCCCGGGAATGGCCCCGGGGGAATCCCTCAACATGTCAACCCGGAATTCCTGGGGTTAATACCCAGTTTAGTCTTTTCGTCGTTTTTCGACGCATCTCATGTGACGGAGGTGGGCATCTTTACAGTAACAGTCCCCGCTTGGAAACTACCAGCCTAGTACCAGGCCGTCGAGATCCGGGGCGAGGTCCCACTGGCAAAGAGGATCTGATTTACAACCTGAACCTGGAGGTGTTCGTGGGAACGTGCAGAAAATCGTGATTCTTCTGCTCTTCTGCACCTGTGGCGAAAATCCATCCAGATTCGGGCACATAGCCCAACCCTCCGTGCTTGTGGGAGTATGCCCCCGACGTATTCAACGGCTGTACTGCGTCACTCGAGGCCACACGTGATCTATATCCTGAATAAACGGAGTGGTAGAATGGGTAGAGGCCTTGCACAAGGACCCTTTCAAGAAAAAAGCCCCAAAAAAAAAAAGAAAAAAAAAAAGGAAAAAGAAAAAAAGAGAAAACTACGGCGCAGTCAGGGATTGAGTTTGTAATTGCACTTGAGGCAAAAGGGCCGGTAATGCTGAATGTATATGACCGACGTTTCGGGTCCGGTGGGGTCGCGTGGGGGTGTGTTGTATTCGCCGGATTGCCTGAAGTGCAATTACAATTTTTTTTTATTTTATTTTTTTTTTCCCAAAAAAAAAAGGCCCTCAGGGCTTCATTATTATGCAATTCGTGACTGCGCCGAAGTTACCCCAAAAAAAAAACGAGAAAAAAGAGGTAGCCAACCAGCCACCCACCCACCCACCCACCCACCCACACACACACACACACAGAGCCATGGGGGCAGCTTAGTGTTGGTATTAACTTGGTAACTTGGTAGCCAGGTGATCACCCCATAGCGCTCGTTGCTGGGACAGGCTCACGGCAAGAGAAGCGCTGGCTGCCATAGCTCATGTGGCAGTTTCCAGTTTCTGCGATTTTGGAAGGGAGTGCACACTGCACAGCGCACGATCTATGGTCAGCATACGCTGATGGCCACTCAACGCCCAGGCAGGAGATAAAGCGTCACTCAGCGGAAGCTTAGGTGTTCGTCTCTATTTTGATCCTCTTCTTCGCTGTTGGGGTGTCACTGAGCGATGGCGCTTGTGGTCCAGGACCAGAATTTTGCCGCCAAGCTCAGTTGTGGTCCTGGACCAGGGGTTTGCCGCCAAGGTCAGTTGTGGTAGGATATGATGATGTGGCAAGCTCTTGGTTGAAGGCAACATCTCCTCCATCGCCATCCTTGGAATAATCATTGTGGATCGCAGACTGCAAAGGAAGGAATTAGCATGGCCACACAAAAGTAAGGAGGCGGGCGTCGTCAAGGAGTCTGAAGGAGGTAGCCGCCTCCAATTGCTAACGGCTTTCTTCCTGCTGCACCAGGGTGGTTGACCTTGACGAAGGCAGGCTTTCGGCTTGTGTTTTCACTTGGTCACTGGCACATCAGGCTTGTGTTTTCACTTCGTCGCTGGTACATCAGGCTTGCGTTTTCACTTCGTCAGTGGCATATCGCGGGCGCTTGATCGAGCGGCGGCGGGATATCCACTCCATGACATTGTGTGAAATGGGTAAGTGCTTCTGCGATTTCCCTTTTTTTTTTTTTTTTTTTTTTATCTGCTGGAAAATGGGTGCAGCGTCCCCTGAGATACAATGTCAAATTGGTAGATCGGCACGTGCTGTGCATCTGCGATTCCCCTGTGCTGTCGCTGGACCAGATGCTAACTTACACTTACACGCACCTGACCTGCGATGCCGGCCAGATACCCTGCGAAATGAGGTCGCCTCTGTGTGTCGTTCTTGCTAGTAATCACAGACACTGTCGACATACAGTATTACTCGTTCTCTGTTGTCTTCCAGCTCATCGGCATTTTCGGAGCAAGGAGTCGTGTGTGCCCATCCTCTCCGGTCGTCTCTTTATCTGGTCTTCTCCAATCCAACTGTCTGTCTGTTTTTTTTTTTTTCCTTTCTTCTTTTGATGGACCACGAATTAGATCTTAAGCTGATCAGAACAGAGACTAGATTTGATCTTAGCGAAAAGGCCGAGAATATATATATAAATGATAAATCCAATCCAGCCGTCTTCCTCATGCTGAAAAGGCAAACTTAAGGTGGAGAGAGTGAAGAAAGAGGTGGGGGCAGGGAGAAGGGAGAGGGAGCGAGGTTTGGTGTCGGTCTTTGTGCATGATGAGCGTCATTCGGGAGCTTGGCCACATTTTTTCCGAGCTATGGTCGGTCGATGTCGATCGACATTTTGTCACCACACGAGTCTTCACCGTGCTGCCTTCTAAGTTCGTACACGTATCTGGCGCGGGATCCAGTCCAGGTACTCCCGGATTACTTGCTCGCTCCCTGTTTCTCGTTATTGTACTCCTTTTCGTCTCGTATTGCTTCCTGTACTTCTCTTTTTTTGGGTTTTAATTATGTACATCCTTGCACAGGGGCCATGCTAATCTTCTTTCTCTGTATCGTTCTAACTTTCACGGATCATGATGTCGAGACGGAGCTCCCTCTTTTTTTTTTTTTTTTTTTTTTTTTTTGACTGATCAGAAAAGATACTACACTTGATCTTAGCCAAAAGGCCGAGAGGGACCTCCCTGGTTTTTTTTTCTTTTTTTGACTGATCAGAACAGATACTACACTTGATCTTAGCCAAAAGGCCGAGACGGACCTCCCTGTATTTGTTTTCCAATTACCTCACATCAGATTCGGCTGCTTACCTTCCCTCTTCCCCCGAATAGAACGTACGGCCATTTCTATGTACTCACTTGCTACTCATGTTTTATCTTCAATGAGTTACGTTCGGGTTTTTTTTTACTATGCTGCGTGGTTTTTCTTCTCCTTCCTCTTTCTTCTTCTTCTTCTTCTTCTTCTTCTTCTTCTTCTTCTTCTTCTTCTTCTTCCTTTCTACTGTCTTTCTCCCTTCCCCCTTTTTGCATTACGGTTATATGTGTGGTGGTGCTTGACCGATGTTGATGGTCGTCTTTCGCTTGTTGTTCACACAACACATTTCTGGTGCATCTGGACTACGAGGTGAGTCAGATCCGGCTATAATGACCGTACCTTCTATTCGGGGGATGACGGTAGTTGTGTCGTAGCAGCAAATTCAATACTCTCGCGACCTAAAAAAAAAAAAAAAAAAAAAAAAAAAAAAGGACTCTCGCGAGCCCACCCTCGTCAGTTTCTTCCCTAATTCCTCTTCATCAATCCCGACGTGTTCGTCATTCCGCAACTGTTACAGCAAACGCGAAGAGCTGATCTGCTAATGAGGGAGTTACTGTAGCAAAAGTGAAGAGAAAACCAACTGGTCAAGCTCTGTTGGTATCCACTGAATGAACATAGACGGTAACCGAGGTGAGATTCAAATTTCAGGGTAACTTGCATTCACGGACGTGGACTAGTTTATAGAATTTCACTGAAGCGACGGTTCCTATTTGTTTTCGACTGACAGTGTGCGTAAGACTAGCTTAGGACTAAGTTTCAGTACTTAAGCTTTGCATATTCCTGATTGTTTCCAAGACCCCTGATGAGTCTGACGCGGCCGTCAGATGAAACCGGTCGGGTCGTCGCCGAAGCAGGATTAAATTTTTGTTCTGCCATAGCTGCTGGACTATTGTTATTTTTGTTCTGCCATAGCTTCTGGACTCTTGTTATTCTGTTTCGTAATGCACCAGGTCACGTTCGGGTTCGTTGTAAAGCTGGTCTGAGTCTTTGTCGTGTCGTGTCGTGTGTGTTTCTGGTGGTGAGTTGGCGTCTGAAAGCTTGACCATTGAGAGTCTATCGAAGTATATCTCATACAAGCTCCGTTGGTACACGGGGGGCAAGGTCCCACTTGCACAAAAAAAAAAAAAAAAAAAAAAAAAAAAAAAAAAAAAAAAAAAAAAAAAAAAAAAGGGAAAAAGGTCCCACTTGCACGGATTACGAGATTCTGACCGTTGATCTGTGCTATCTACGGTCAAGATCTCCTAATTCGTGTACTAAGTGGGACCTAGCCCCGGGCCCATGAAATGTTGAAAGTCACTTGAAAAAATAGTTTTAGGCCGGAGCTCGAATCTGATGAGGAGAACAATCTAGGGCCTCGCTGCACTACTCTTGAAATGCACAAAAGACACAAATCATGGCCGTGTATCTTTCCATATTCTAGCGGAAGATTCACTCTCGTTTTGCACATTTCGATTTCGAGAGTAGTGCAGCGAGGCCCATAATCGTACCTGGTTGCCGCTTCTTTTTTTTTTTTCTTTTTTTTTTTGGTTTGGTTTGCCGCGTCTTTCGGATCTGTGCTTGCTGTTGGTTCTTTCGAATCTGTGCTTGCTGTTGGTTCTTTCGAATCTGTGCTTGCATGGAGGGTTCAGGGCCAGATGTACGGACTCATAACTATTGTGGAAGGCTTCCGGGAACTGCCGGACAGCACAACGTAAGGTATCCCCCGGAGAAGTGAGCCACGGCTAAGTGAAGTACACAGTGGGGGTTACGTATTGATTGGAGCGAAGTGATGTGCGAGAATTGTGGTGTCGAGGGGGTGTTGAGCGTGGTGTGCGTCGAGTTGGACACTACATACCCCATCAAAATCAAATTAAATTAAGAGGGATGATCTTATCACCCGCTCAAGTGGTCACTCATCCATGAAGTTTCAAAAA